TAGTGAAAGACTTCTTAAATAAAACCCCCAAAGCACAGTCGATAATACCCAAAATAGAGAAGTAGGATTACATCAGACTAAGAAGTTTCTGCATGGCAAAAGACACAGTAGTTAGTGTGAATCAACAGCCCTCAGAATGGGAAAATATTTTTGTAAATTATGCATCAGATAAGGGACTGATAACCAGAATACACAACGAACTCAAGCCACTGTTTGAAAAAAAGATGATCAATCCTATTAAAAGATGGGAGGAGTTGAAAAAAAAAACACTCTCTAAAGATGACATATGAATAGCCAAAAGGCATATGAAAAAATGCCCAACATCCCTCATTGTAAGGGAAATGCAGATCAAAACAACAATGAGATACCACCTAACCCCAGTCAGAATGACTAAGATTAAAAAGCACAATAAATAATAAGAGTTGGCAGGGTTGTGGTGAAAGGGGAACTCTCTTACACTGCTGGTGGGAATGTAAATTAGTCTAGCTACTCTGGAGAACAATTTGTAGATTCCTCAAAAGTCTACAAATAGAACTACCATATGCTCCAGCAATCTCACTCTTTGTCATCTACCTAAAGGACAGAAGAATTCTTCATTGGAAAAGTGCTTGCACATTGATGTTTATTGTGGCACTTTTCATGATTGTTAAGACATGGAACCGACCCAAATGCCCCCATACAGCTGAATGGATTGAAAAACTCTATGGAATACTATTCAGCCTGGCTTTTGACAGAAAGTGGAAGAATATGGAAGGTTTACTGCTGAGTGAAGCAAGCCAGGCTATGAAGGAGAGACATTGTATGTCCCCACTCAATATATATTGAGTGTCCACACTCTATGACTGAAACTGATGGGCTAAACGATGTACAAACACAAGAGAAGGGTGTGAATGCCAGATGTAGTGTGTGTGGAGGAGTGGGGTCTGGGGAAGGACATTTGGAGGATGGATACGAAAGCAGAGCATAGTCGGGACGGGGAGGTACTATTGTGGTCTGTTGAAGATATTTTGATCAATTGGACCGGGGAGAAATGTTCATATATTGAAATGTTCACTTTGTAAACAAAATAATGCGATTGAATGTATAAAAAAAATGTAAATATGTCACAGGGATGCTAAGTCCGCGGCCTGGACCCTTGCTGACTATGCTGTCTCCAATGGTACTCTGCCACCGCAGCAGCCCCCTCTCTGAAGAACGCTGTCCTCCTAGGTCCAGGAGTGTTGCAGGCAACAAGGATCTTTCACACAGGACAACCACGTCTTGCCCCTGTACCATCTCTTCCTGAACATAGAGGAAAAGTTCATCTTGGACTGATCCCTGAGGAGTTCTTCCAGTTCCTTTATTCTAAAACTGGTGTAACAGGACCTTATGTGCTTGGAACTGGGCTTATCTTGTATTTTCTATCCAAAGAAATATATATGATTACCCCAGAGACATTTTCTGCTATATCAGTAGTAGGGTTACTTGTCTATGCAATTAAAAAATATGGTGCTGCTGTTGGAGAATTTACTGATAAACTCAATGAGAAAAAATTGCCCAACTAGAAGCAGCAAAGCAGGAGACCATCCAACAAATCCAGGATGCAATTGATTTGGAGAAGTTGCAGCAGGCACTGGTTCAGAAGCGCCATTATCTTTTTGATGTCCAGAGGAACAATATTGCTATGGCCTTGGAGGTTACTTACTGGGAACAACTTCACAAAGTGTATAAGGAGGTAAAGAACTGCTTGGACTATCACATTTCTGTGCAGAATATGATGGTTCGAAAGGAACAAGAGCACATGATCAACTGGATGGAGAAGCATGTGGTGCAGAGCATCTCCACACAGCAGGAAAAGGAGACAATCACCAAGTGCATTGCAGATCTGAAGTTGCTGGCAAAGAAGGCCCAGGCACAGCCAGTTCTGTGAATGTTTCTATCCCCATTAGACAGCTTGAAACAGTTGACTGGTGAAATGTTTAGAAATCCATCAATGTGGCAAAATCTTTGTATATTGCTGTCTCCTGAAGTTACAGTTCACCTGTCCTAAAAATGAGAAGTTTGAGTTCCATATAGTTAACTAAGTGAACTAAGTCTTATTGGCCAGTGAGAGGTTTCTCATTCTTTTTACTCTGCATTCTGAGTTGTTCCATGATCACTTTTGAAACAGGCAGTTTGCTTTTAATAAGACTTGCTCCTTGACTGAAGATTACCAAGTAATAACTTAAATTTGTAATTAATTTTACCATCATGAAATAAAGTGATAATTTAAGCAAAAAATGTAAATAAATAAATAAATTTAATTAAAAAAAAGAATCAAATGGAGCTATTAGAGATGAAGGCTGCCATTCAGGAAATCAAAACCTCCCTTGAAGTATTAAAAACAGATTAGTTCATGCTGAAATTCGAATTCCGGATGATGAAGGCAAAAACCTCTGATCTAGTAAAAACAACCAAAAACCCTGAGAAAATAACCCCCCAAAATGAGAATACTATACGAGAAATACTAGACAGCCTTAAGTGCCCAAACAGGATAATCAGTATCCCAGAAGGTGAGGAAAGTAATAAGGGCATTGATCATCTATTCCATGAAATCTTGGAAGAAAACTTTCCAAATCTAAAGAGGCATTCAAATATCCAGACCCAAGAAATACAAAGGACCCCTAGTAGAATCAACCCAAGAAGATCTTCTACAAGGTAAATCATAGCCAGACTAGTCAAATCTACAGACAAAGACAAGATACTAAAATTGGCAAGAGAGAAACATCAGGTTACTTATAAAGTATATCCAATCAGGCTAACCTCAGACCTCTCATCAGAAACAATGCAAGAAAGGAAAGAATGGGAACATATATTAAAAATGTTAAGTGAAAAAGCAGTTTCAACCAAGAATACTATATCCAACAAGATTATCTTTCATATGGAAAGAAAAAATAAAAACATTCTCAGATAAACAAGGCCTGAATGAATTTGCCAGTAGCAAACCTACTCTTTAAGAAGTTCTGAAAGAAGTGCTCAACCAGGAAAACTAAAGACATATATAGGAATAAGAGAACAAAAGGCAACCAAGAAAATGACCAATTTAATGTTAGAGACAAGAAATATCAATAACAACGTTGAATGCTAACTTTCAGGATTTAAACAGAAAGATTGGATCACAGAAACACTGCATATTCAGCTGAAGAGTGTTTGAACATAAGATGAACTGGCGAAATAGATTTATGACTTTTAAGTAAAACATTATTGATTTCTTTTTACTATGCTTTGTCTCCCCAATTTAAACATTTTATTTTCTTTTGAGTTGTTGATAGGTTCAGCAATTTGTTAAAATATTTTTATTGCTTGTTTCTCTAAATGGAAGCATAAACTTTTCTTCCTTCCTGACCCCTCTTGAATTGGAAATATTTGGGAGTATTCTTTTTGTGGCAGAAGGGTTATTTGCATAGGTTCAATAATACTTGTTACATTGAATTAGAAATTGGAAATACTCATTATTGGACAGGGCTTTGACTGGAATGTCGTATCTAAAGATCAATCAGAAAACTATGGAACTAAGTTGGATCTCAAGTAAGCCAAGAAGCTCTTAGAAAGATGGCCTGGTCCCATAAATAGTTCTGCCTGGCAGAAGGAATTAGAGAAGATATATGAAAGAATTTATAACATAAAATAACCTGGACTTTTCCAGTTCAGCATTGTAATCAGTAGAGATTGCAAAACGGATAACACCAGAGGATTATCTTGAGAAAGACTTTGAAGGAAGAAAAAGAGACTGATGTTTACTAGCAGATGGTATATCGCAGAATACTTGGTAGGCAGGGCTGAATTGAGAAGGATTATATGTGACTAGTGTGCTGGGCATTTGCTTTTCAACAATTTGAGTAGTTGACATAAATATTTTCTCAAAAACATTTAAAACAATACTGTTTCTACTGTTATAGAGTTATTTTTGTTATAAGCAAAATTATACAAAATTATAAAACATTTTGAACATTATGTCTAAAATTCAGCATTTTGAAATTTTGAAAGTTGTTTATTAACTGTCAAGAATTATAGTATGAGCAAAAAAATTTTTTGATATGTAAAGTAAATGTTTGTGGAAAAATGTAAAAATTAATTAAGAAGAAATAATTACAAAAAATAACAAACAGGTCTCAGTCAAAAAATATGCTTAATTGACAATACATGGTATTTGTGTTGGAAAAAGAAATTTATACTGTAAAGACATGTGTTTAAATGTAACTAAATTTAAAAAAAAAAGAAAAAAGAAATATCACTCAGCGTACTTAAAATAAATGTAAATTTCTGGGCCCTGCCTCAGATGCATTACACTAAGAAGTGAAGAAAGTGGGCAGTCTTGTCTTGTACCGGTTTTAGTTGAGAAACTTTCAGCTTTTCCCCATTCAGTAAAATGCTAGTTATAGATTTTCCATAGATGGCTTTTGTTAGGCTGAGAAATCATCCTTCTGTGCTGATTTTGCTGAGAATCTTAATCATGAAGAGAGGCTGCAGAAAAGCTTTCCAAACCTGGAGAGGCACTCAAAGATTCAGTCCCAAGAAATACAGAGGACCCCAAATAGAATCAACCCAAGAAGATCTTCTCCAAGACACATTATAGCCCGATTGACCAAAACAACAAAGACAAGATACTAAGATTGGCAAGAGAAAAATGGCAAGTTATCTACAAGGGGTATCCCATCAGACTAACAGCAGTTCTACCCTCCACCCACTTCTCCAGGGGCACAGAGAGGCTCCTTGGAGGGCAGCTCCTGGCAGATGGTGACCCATCAGGGCTGTGGGGGCTTTCCTTCCTGGGCTCCTCTTCCTGCCTGCTCTGCAGGAAACCTGAGGGCTGATGTGATGGTGCCCACTCCTCCTGAAGAGGGGCTCAGAGTGGAGAGAGCACTCATGGTCCTGCACCTGCTCAGGGGGAGAGGGGCCTCCCAGGGGCTGGGAGGGCCGGGCGAGCAGGACCAAGTGTCTGGGAAGAGCCCTGAATCCCCCTTGGGGAAAGGAGTGCCTCTCACCAAGCCAGGGTGAGGATGCTCCTGGTGTCTGCATTTCAGAATAAGGAAGCAAGGGTCCTGAGCAGCCTGCTGAAATGAGGGGCCCAGTGGCTGGTCACAGCTCTCCTTTGTCACCTGCAATGAGGATGTGAGAACTAGATCAGAGGAACCAAAACCACAGGTGTGCCAGGAGGACCTGAAATCTGGGAGAGGAAACACCTCATCTCCACAGATTGCACCCCTTCTGCAGCTGCTCCTGAGGGTGCCTTGGGGGCCTGGATCCTGAGTGCCCCCTGGTGATCCCATCCCTGCAGAAGTTTTGTGCAAGGGCTGCCCTGAGGTCACCTCACTGTGTCTCTGTCACAAAAATACATGACCGTGTCCTCAGGGGTCAGACTGTGCAGACTCAGATAACCTTGGCTCTTGGAGGTGTCCCTGGAGATGCTGGCTCGGGATTTCAGGGCTGGGTTATAGTAGGTGCTTCCACCACTACTTATCACTCCAACCCACCCCAACCTCTTTGCTGGAGCCCGGCGGACCCAGTGTACACCATAATTGGTCAGAGAGAATCCAGAGATGTTGCAGGGGAGGGACAGCGTCTCTGAGGGCTTCACCAGGCCAGGCCCCGACTCCTGCAGCTGCACCTGGGACAGGACACCTGGGGACAGGACAGCAGTCAGTCAGACACACCCTCAGCACATGCCCAGGTCCTGCCCTGACTCCCTGAGAACTCCCTGAGCGGCCAGCAGGCAGAGGAGCAGCCCCAGCACCTCCATGCGCAGGGAGCGGCCAGCAGGCAGAGGAGCAGCCCCAGGACCTCCATGCTCCGAGGGCTCCTGGTGAGGAGGAGACAGGGCTCCTGGGCCCAGGACTGGGCTTTCATCCTGAGACTGGGGCCTGCTTTGCATGAGGGAGGGCCCTGGGGTTATAAGTGGGGGAGCAGGGAGGGTCTCTGAGTCCTTCCTCAGGGCCTCAAGTCAAGTGTGACCTGATTTTCCTATTTCCAGAGACACAGGGATTGCTGGGGTAGAGGGGACAGGTTTGGGCTCAGCGTCTGCAGCAATGCTTGATGTGACTCTGGACCTGTTGGGATAAAGGGGCTTATGATGGTTCTCTCTCATTTGTCTCAGCCCCATGTGAGGGGGACGAGGCTGGTGGTCAGCTGTGCCCAACTTCTCTGCACTTGGACTCGGTCAGTGCACACGGGGCAGCTGGGCCTCCTGACGACATGGCAGTCAACCTCTTCCTAAAGGGGCCTCCTCAGGGGACACACATGGTGTGTGCCACTGTGTGTGTGCATGAGCACTAAGACATGACTGTGGTACATGTGACTATGTGAAGATGCACGTCATATATAACATTCAGTAGAATCTCACCACGGTTATCATACATGTGCATGTAAAAGTGTATTTGTATGTGTTTATACATGTACATGGAGACTGACAAACACAGGGATGGGAAGAGAGAGCGGGAGCCAGAACTACCTCTGCCATGTCCTGTTCCACCCCAGGACCTCACACCACATTTGCACATCTCCAGAAATCCCAAGGTGTGTCGAGGGCAGAAAGTATCATCCAGCCCTGTGAGGAGACAGAGCAAAGGTCAGAACAGACCCTGACAGGACTCAGTCTGGGATTTAAAATACCCACCAATGTGCTGCTCGGTCTCAGCTGGCCCCCTGCACCTTCCTCCGGTGTCCTCCTGCACGGCTCTGACTCCAGGTGCCCTGGGCTGGGAGCTGACACCCCAGCGCTCTCAGGCGTGCATGTGTGGAACACGGATGTGCCGGCACCTCCCCGTCTCTTCCACTGTGTCCTGGAGGGAGGTCGTGAGAGATACTGGCTACGTTGTCACCCGGGAACCCAGACCCCTGCAGGTGGGAGAGCAGCTGGCAGGCCAGGCCACAGCTGTGAGCAGGAGGGCTGCTCTCCAGGTGGTCCTCCCAGAGCACTGTTAC